GTTGTTATACATAGCAAGAGAAAAGAATATGTTAGTTAGCAATTCTTAATTAGAATTCGGCATAGTGTTACATTAGACCAGTTATCCACTGAACTACATCTGACTGCAAGATGCAAATGTACTCAGTGTCACTCATTCCGGAGATGAATAAACCAAACTGGTTTATGCACTCTATCAGCATGGATTTTGAGTCGAATTCACGGTAATTTATGGGATGTTAAATCTAAAAATCTGTTTCATACTGAGGCCGCTGCTTTACTTTCACGCAACAAACTTACGGACCCCGGCTCGAACTTGCAGTACTTGGTGTGAACCTTTAGCGCACCCTCTAACCTCCGAATACAGAGCGATAAAGCCCGGAAGCTGTTTGCTATAAACCAGAGTGCAGTCAAAGGCTGTTCAAAAATTCAAGAAATTCCTTGACGCCCAAGTTGCGGATAATAGATTCGGAGCAGTCATCGCAGCTGAACAGTATCACGTACATTGGTAATATTTTTAACACTGCAAGAACCGGTACCATTATTCTGTGGGAACACTCATTCAAATTTCGATTGAGTTGCTGGGATTCATAGTCATAAGCTTCAGATTTACTGTATTTGGTATTGATCATACTCTTTGGAGTTTGGAGAAAAATCGGTGGCCCTACTCCTACAAACTGTAAACATAGGTGATTAAATTCATGAAGCATTGACTCAGATTGAATGGTTAGGAGGACAAGCGCTACGAGCAGTACGTGCTATATACCTTGGGGGCTAGGACCACCTATGCCAGCTTTGTGGCTACTACCAGCATCATGCCAGGTAGGCCTCAACAAAAGGCGGGCAAACCCAAATTAGGCTCAGTTCGGTTCGCGTTCTCGGGCTCATAATCCATTGTGGTCAGAAAGCGTGTACAACTGAAGTTGATTATCACGAAAATTCGTTCTACTAATCTCAAACAAATCCAGATGATATAACTCAGTCACATTTTGAGGTGGACTTGCTCCTTTAAATTCAAACCAATGGGAGCTTTGAGTGAATAACCCAAGATGTAGTCCCTCCGGAAGAACTTTATTCACCCTACGGCGTTGTGGGTTAGGCCATTGAGCCAAAGACTCGGGGTAGGGAAGATCAAAAGAAATTCCTGTCGGGAAGGGCATAGTCGAGAAGACCATCGTGAACTCACGACACACCGTCGCCTGTAACCTTTCCCTCTCTCCCATCTCCATTACTTCGCACAAGTTATCCTCTCAATTTACTATGAAGAAACTAATACTAGTTTCGTGGGTCAAGCTAGCTAGTAAACTGCGTCGGTATCCTACCGAATGGCGCAGTTTTACTTGGGATCATTCAACGTCAACATACTTGTCTATTGGGCCAATAAGTGACACTGGTCATGATTGCATACTGCGTTGAGGTTATGGTGCGCAGTATTTTCGGTACATGTACGCAGGACAAGTGTGCTTTCCATATCTGGCATACTATCAACAAGTGGTTCTCAACCTGGATGTAACAACTCCCAAGAGAGTAACATGGAATTTTACGGAGTGGGGGGGGGTTAAATGTAAGTACGAGGATTGGGTCTTTAACTTGTCGCCAAACGAAATTACTAACAAACTCATCTGTATCAAAGCATGTAACTAACTACCTCATCATCTTTTAATTAGCCACCAGTGACTAATCACTATTGAGTGCCCAGTGTATTAGACAATTTTCGATAATACGTTAGTACCCAAGATACGAACACAAGATTACAAAGCAATGCATCTAGATGGAGTCTTTATAGGCTCGCTCGTCGATCATAGTTCTTTTGAATCAAGTACTAGTTCACCTGGTCGAATTAGAGTTGGGTGAACAATAAAGCGCAGCATAGGTCAATCGACTAGATAAAGGAGCCAGCGAATGTTTAAGTTAGATGGGATAAAACGTGTGACTTTTGTGCAAGACCGATGGATACAGAGTGGGGTTGGGAAGCTGTCAATCGGGAAGGAATTGGGACTGATGGCTGAAACAAAAGAGAAGCGATTGACCTCTGTTCACGTTCAGCGGTCATACACCAAAACAAGGAAACGGATGAACGATGTGAATTAGCTGAAAGTACACCAAATACATCAGAAATTGGTGAACCCAGCAATATCAACCGTTACATTAACTGACATCACTTGTTGATTTAATAAAAATTTGCTCGAAAGAGACATTTTCTTTATTTTATGATCGAAAATAACGAAAAATAGCATTTATTTTCCGTAATTAAGTCAAAATAAGCCCTAGTTATTACATTATTTGCTTTTTAAACTAATTTGCGATGGTGTAATTGTACATCGTGAACCAGCTTGGTGGGCAAAAACCCCAAGAAGTTTGAGAAGCACTGTCATAACTGGACTAAACTACCCGCGTTTCTGATTGTGGTGCATCACCAATGAGTATAATGGACTGGACGGACATACATGTTGGAATAGGCGAATGCACGAATCACTACCGATGTCGAGGGCACAGCGCACATGCAACTGCTACAGATACGCGGTGGATGTAGGTTGCAGCAGATCGGCAGCCAGGTCAGCCTCATGGGTAAGGCGAGCACGTACGCCTCACTAACATTTTCGATCGCGCTATCCTAGACACTTTCATTCTTGCAATAAACAAACTGTCAATGCAGCGTTGGATTCTCAACATTTGGTGTTGTGACCACCCCAGGAGAAGGATGATGGTCCCATTGTCTGAGCCGCTTGAGGATCTGAGAGTACAGATGTTCCTGGATGACTTCCAGGACATCGTGATGGCCGGATTGAAGCTGCAGCCGTTTAGAGTCTCCTCAAAGGTGGAACGAAGGCGAACTCGGAGATCAATCAAAGGGCTCTTCCAAGTTACTTTGGGCCACCGTGAATAAGGCCCTTATCGCGGGATTCAACAACCCACCTTACCTCTGAGATACTCTGCGTCGGTTAAGGGTGGCCAGGTTTAGATCGTAGGGAAATCCCACATTTCATGGTGCACTTTTAGGACTAATTTAAGGCACACTACCTTGCCTGGTGGAAGCGTCGAGACAGAAGCTACCTGTGAAACAGTGCTCATGGAGTGCCTGGATTGCAAAAGACATGCGAAACTTGCCCTGAGAAGAGCTTGACAAATTGGCCTGTACGCTTGGAGACGCTCCATTTGCATTTTCTGGAAGATGAGCCTTTGGAAGGTGTACAGTGGTTGGATTAACTTCAGTGAATGACGGAGCAGCTTTTGTTAGAATTCTTTACGCTTTATGTTCAGCGCGCATGGGGTGATCAAATAGAAGTTATTTCCTTTGTGAAAAAACCAGGCATTGGAGGAAGTTATGCGAAGTGAAGCCTGCTCTGCCCTTTGTTCTAACTTAACGTATTCGATGTCGGTTTCCTCTTCTTATCAAGTGATTCGTATTCGAGGCGCTGACTATGGAGATGACTAAAGCTGCTCTGGAAGCAGATATCACGATGGAACAGCGTTTTATTGAGATGGTTGCCGCATTGACCCTAATCCTCCATCAGGATGGCAAAAAACTTCGATCATGCACTATGTTCGTTATGGCTGTTGGCGCTTATGAGGCAAGCATGGTTAGTAAGGGTGGCACATCATTAGAATTGGGAGATGGACGCTGAATCATGCCTTTTTCGTGTCCATGGAAACTAAAGAAACTGTTCTGGGAGTCGGCTTTTGTCCAACTCATTGAGCATATCGGCGACTTGAAACTCGGAGAGCAAGCGATTAAATGCAGGTAGATATCAATACATAAAAGAGCGAGATCCACATGGTCGTGTTCGGTCGTTATTATTTTACGCGCAAGTCTGATCTTCCAGTCCCTTGACAGCAGCTTCCACATTCTCCATACAGACGACAGTAGTCCTGTCGGGTTTTGAGATTGGATCGAGCACACGGCGCTTCTCTCTCTTCCCGATGTTCCGGCCATACGGACCCCACAAAAAGTTAGTCCACAGGGGGACAGAGTTCAAGACGCAAATGTAAGACACGTTGAGTGCGAATGTATTTGAGTTGTTTCAGTGCGGCCAGCCAACAGGTAGTACCGATTCTGCATTTAGTTAAGTAGGTTGATAGACAGTCATTCTCCTCTCGCACAAGTCGGCAGTGATTGCACGGATAAGACGGACAGTCCGGAATCGATACAATCCATCATGATGGATGGGATGGAAGAGCAATGGAGGAAGAGCGACCCAAAGCAGAGGAAAAACTAGAACTCGCGAGGAAAATAAGATGCAATAGGAAAATAAGTAAAATTTATGTGCAACATCAGTGACTCGTGTGTCTTTGATTAAAATGTTTTTAATGGCTGCATACTCATTGTTCTGACTGTAGTCAGTCACTAAAAAAGCAGCTAAAGCAGAGGCATCTCGATGTCACTCATTAATGTTACCGCACTATAGAACTCTATTCGTAGCATCCTTAGCTGTGTTCTGCTGAGCAACCAGCATGTTTTTGAACCCGTGGATTGCAATCGAATCGGTTGTGACCACAATTTGGTGCACCTTAAACTTGGAGAGTGGCTTGTTGTGTATACCACGTGGAATTCACCCGCTGCTAAGCACTTCTTGAAACACGGGATATGACGGAGTTGATTTCCACCATAACACGCTGTCTATCTTCATGTGATGAGTATTAGGAGTTGGTGTGTTGAATGCAGCTCTATGTGCAATGTCTTATGGATCTAATTTACGCAAGTATCCCTAACCCAATCTTTAAATAATTCTGTGGTAGGTCTACATTGTTGGCCCTGCAACTATTTACACTGAAATCAGTGTAGGGCCTATGCAGTTGGGCGTGATACAGTGAAGAGGCGAATCCTGAGTGCACAAGGTTTTGTTACACGACTATGTAAATTGGAACCTATTCAGTGCAAGTTCATCATAGCACGCTGTCTGCTGACCCTTTGCCCAAGAACTGGTTGACGGGGTTGCCCCGAGCATTAGGTAATCAATCGTCTGCCTCACCATGACGTTACCTCGTCCCCCAAGCATATCTATTCTTGTCTCCAAACTTCAGGTCGGCATTCAATCAGATTGGCAGATCAAACCGTTTTGGACATGGAAGAAGTATTTCTCTCCGGTATGTTAGGACTCCAATCACACAAGTGCTACGAATGTGGACGCTTGTTAAACCCAAATTATGGCCACGAGTATCCAGCAAGAAGAAAATCCGCCGTTGAAAAAGTCAACGGATTTGAAACAAAACAAACAGAAAACAGTATTACCGTGCCAAACAAATCCCAGCGACGCAATAGCTCAGCCAACCTAACGCAAGATGCCTGCGCTATTCGAGCCTGTCATCTGACAGGAAAGTATTACTGTGAACGCTGTCATTGGAACGACCAGTGGTATATACCAGGATCGATATTCTTATTAAACGACATGAGCCTTCAACCGGTGAGTTGGGTTTGCAACCAAATACTAATATTGCCTTGTTTGGTAAGCCCCAACAAGCCTGTTGTCAGCGTGCAGCAAAAATGTTACCAGATATTACACAATCGGCTGACAGACTGTCAATTAAGGAAAATAAAACAAGCAATATAAAAGGTTGTCTGTGTACGACTCGTCTGACGACTTCGAATGTCAAGTAAATTGGGAGTAGGAGGACCCCGCTTGTTTGTGGAAACTGGTATCGTCCCTAACAATTTCAGACCTGAAACCGTCAAAAACACTTTTATCGACATATTTCTTATGCCATTGCGTAGTGCGAGTGGCTGAGCTTAGGCTCCGTTTTCCAAACTTGGCACCTTCGGGTGTGCGGTCTACGCTACGTGATGTGCAAGGTTACATTTATGATGTACAGCTATGGATTAGCATTTGTTGAAGTCATGCACCAAATACCAACTATCATTGAATAAAAATACAAATGAAAAACTGAACTTTGTCTCCTAGATTGAAGATTACATTGTCTAGCTTATTGGTTTCTTTCACCCATTGTACCCTTAATTTAATAACCGACGAGTGAAACAGGCTGTTTGAACTCCTATTCAATAGATCTACTAGGAATCCTGGAGAGTTCCTATGCTTATCATTAAGCAACCGAACTTAACCATTCGTGTGGTAGAATAGATATATGCAGTACTGCGAATAAAGAGCAGAACGGGCTGTTTTCAACATGCGCCGTGAAGAAGTACAAGGGCAATTCTACTACTTAGTTTTATGCGATCTTCACTGTCCAATGAATGTCACATTTTGAAAGCTCCGGTAGAGCTCGGCTCAGTGGCATGACAATTTTTGTTGATAAGCCAGAGAGATTTTGGAGTCTGGTAAAACCTAAAGAGAACGAATTCGAATACGGACGGGATTACCTCACCATCCTGTCAATTCGCGTCTATTCCTTGGGGGTATACAAGTGACATGTAGGTCTATTTCAATTCTGTTCCCCTAGATGTGTCGCTCAGCCTACCTAAAAATTCGAGTACTTTGGGATGCAGCAATCTTCCGAATTCCAGCTTACTGGCACCAAGAAAATGCGGAGGCAGCTAAGGTTTTCGAAGTCCGATCAAGATTGCATCAAATGCTTCGTTACACATTGGTTTGCGCAGAAGCTTCTGCCCTGAAAGAATTTGCTGAAGTAAGTTCGCGCAATGAGCTATCAGTTTCGTTACTTGTATTGTGGACTTTATTTGCAGCGTGTAGCAAGAGTTACTCGATAATGTATGCCCGATATTTTGAAAGCGTGCTCGAGTATGGAAGCTCAGCGCTAGGCGTGTATGGTATGACTCACTCGAACCTTTGGTTCATACTAGAGTCAAGAGTATATGAAGTATATCAGCACTGTTCAAACAAATTGTAATAATGTTCCTTCGTTAATTTAACAACGACGATCTATTTATACTTATGAATAACAGAATTAACTGGAGCTGAGGATCTCTTGAACAGAGGCGGTGAAATCTTACGCCTGCAAATGAAGTTCAGTGGATTCAGAATAGAAGCTGGTGCTTTGAAGTATTTACTCTCTTTCAGATCAACAGTAGACACATTCTGTGTGGAGGGATGCAACCTATAATACTCTTGCAGTAATACCTTAGATGATTCAATTAAAACAACGCGAGTGATAAAGTTTGCCGTTCGGCTACACCGCTACGTAAGGGTTGGTGGCTTTTTCGCTGTACGAATCAGGCAGGAATGGGATGGGAATTTGAGAAAGGAACTTGAAAGTCCGCTAGCACCAGCATCTATCGAAATATTTGAGCAACATTGGACAAGTTGCTAAGTGACCTTTCAGGTGAGTGCTGAGTGCGGATTAGAATTTATGGAGACCTGATTATTGATGCAATTTACCGGCTTTGTTCAAACAGCAGCAGTCCTCGACCAGGCTTCCACTAGCATTACTGCTTTGCTTGTTTCTTTCTCATAATTGTGATGACCTGAAGAGAATGATTACAAACAGCTCTCTTCGCTACTTGGACTTTTATCAAAAGATGGGCAGAATTCGTGAATTTGATAGTTCTCTATCACAAGAGTCGTTCAGATTTTTCGACGACATATCTTGGTAACGGTTCGTACCGTAAAAGAATGACTCACTTTGTTGAGGCTTAAGATTCATACTTATGGAGAGTAAAAATGCCTGCGTATCATGTGCTTTTTATCCGATTGTATTTGTTACGCGAAGCAGCCCTGTATCCGTCACATACATTTTCAGAAGGGGCAGCTGGGCTGTAACTAAATTCTCTGGAGTAGCGGTTTAATTAATTCCCTACATGAAGACAGATGTCCATGGATACTGACCGATTCAACTATGAAGCGTTGAATAAGTTAAAAATAAGTTAAAATGATAAGTTAAAAATATTTTTAGGTATCTAGTTATTGAAGCAGAAACAAATATACAAAGGCACAACTTCAGTACCTGTGCTACCAAATTTGATAAGCATACGTGCTGAACTTTATTATAACCCAGAAAAGGATGATTTACGCGAAGCAGGTCCAATTGACATTTGCTCTGCAACCATCAGGTAGATATTAGATTTTGGTTAGTGGAAAATGGCTGACTGGAGAGAGGGACTACTAGGCGGGGGAGTGTGATTGATGACTCAATTTATTTTTCTTCTGTTTTTAAAGGTACAGGGGAATTATCAGACAGTCTTATACCAGTACGTGTACATCATAGTCCTCATCAAATTCTATGTGAAAATATGCCTTAAAGTAAGTATGTTAAAGGAAGCACAGAATGCAACCTAGATCGTAAGAGAATTTATCTTGGTGCTTAACATTTAAACTTTGAATAAATTCAAAGCACTTCCATGACTGGACGCTGTATACTTTATAATTTTGTGCTTTTGCCTCATTAAGCTCAGCAGTTGTTTCGGTTATTCTCTCTTATCTTCCCATTCAGCTAACTGAACCGGCACATCTACTTGGTTATCCAAATTACATGCGTATGGCAGATGTGATCAACATTCTCAACGGGACCCTACATCCCAAGCTTCAAAGTCATCTGGAAAGGTGGACGGCACACATCAACTCATGTGAAGTAAGTTAATAATATTAGCAAAACAATCAATTCACCAAAACCACTTTCTGCCTTACGCAGTCGTAGTGAACTGACAGCAGTTCAAATGATTTCGTGCAATCGGTCGGAAGATGGTGTACATGGAAAAGTAGTCGATTTCAGCGATGAATTTAGGAGTGTTGTGCGTGCGATTAAAGAGACTATGGATGATAAGATACCGGCATATATAAGAGGTAGTAGAGGTTTTACCATTACTTGTATTATTTTCTAAAAGGTAAACACAGATATCTTTTGCGAAGGAACAACCATAAATGCGCCATGACTGATTTTGTATATGTTGCTAATGTTGCTAAACGTGACAAAAATGAAAAGCACAATAAAAACCTAAAAGCAGGGTTGCAAAGAGATAATTTTTGATAGCTCACATCAGACAAATAGAGTTACGACACAGAGAAAAGTAACAGCAAAATAGTAAAGGTAAAAATGAGGACAGGTAAGACAGTTTGAACAGATTTAGTACGTTTGTTCGATGCTTAAATCGATTTAATCAAGTGAGGTTTCGACAGGGATAATAGACAGCGAAACAACTTGCGTAAACAGAAGAGGTAAAATCAGCAAGAAAACAACAACAGATAATTACATAAATAAAAAGCACCCCGTTACGCATAATATTATGAGGGCACGACTCTCATCAGGGCCTTGGCAAAGTCAAGGGATTGGAAAATATTGAGAATACCTGTAGGTCAGGATGTGGATGAAAGGATTGTCCTGTTCTCCGAGTTGGGCATTTCTGTTGCAGACGTTCCGTTACCAAACTAGGTAACATCTTCAGTGCAGCCATTTAGTGCTGATTCGCGGATTCTCGAAAACCAATGCCAGATCTGAATGACGATTGATTGTTGTCTGCTTCGAATGTCAGCCTTCGATCGGTTCACGTGTCCGTCATGTGGGCACCTCTTCTCCTTGTCGATCTGGTGCCTAATGCTGGCTCAACCTGCAGAGCTTCATAGACACCCTCCAGCTCCAGGTGTTTGTTGATTGAGTTCCGGCCAGAATGCCAGGCCTCGAGGAACTCACGTGCTCTGCGGTTTCTTGCTCCTCCAAGTATTTCAACGTTCTCCAGATCGAACTGATGGTTCTCGGCATCCATGTGTACCGACATTAAGGATTTCTCATCGTGGCGGCGGATGGCCAGACTATGTTCGTGCAGTCTTGTGCCAAGTTTTCTTCCAGTCTGGCCTACATAGTACTTCTCACAGTTCTTGCAGGAAATTTTGTAAACCACAACCGATGTTTCTTTCTTAGGCATTTTCTCCTTCACCTTAAGAAGTCTATTTCGTATGGTTTCCGTTGCTTCGTGTGCAACAGTTATCCCCTGAGGCATTAGAAGCCTCGCTGCCATTTCAGAAATCCCATGGATGTAAGGTAGGATAATCGTTCTTCTTTCTGTTGCACATGTGGACGCGGGTGGTGACTGGCTCTTCGGCATCAGGCAGCGTAGAATAAAGCTTCTAGGGTAGGAATTTCGCTGAAACATGTTAAATAGGTGGTCCTCCTCCGCCTTCCTCAGTTGCGGCGTGCTACAATGTGTCTGGGCCCGTTTGAAAAGCATCCTCACGCAACTTCGCTTGTATATGGTCGGGTGGTTACTGCGATAGTTTAAGATCTGATCGGTGTGGGTCGCTTTCCGATAAACTGTTGTTTCCAATGACCCAGAAGCATGTCTTCTCACGAGCACGTCTAAGAATGGCAACTGATCATTGTTCTCTTCCTCTTTGGTGAAATGGATGCCGGAAAAAATATTGTTGATTAGTTGATGTGATTCTTGTAGTCTGGAGTGTTTGAGGATGACAAAAGTATCATCTACGTAACGTACCCAAAGTTTGGGCTCCACTATTGGCAATGCCTTCTCTTCCAAGCTTTGCATCACTGCTTCCGCTACCAGTCCAGAGATTGGCGATCCCATTGGCGTACCCGTTATCTGTTCGTATATTTGACCGTTGAAAGTGAAATGTGTGGTGAGACAGAAATCAAGCAACTCCATCATTTGTGTGGCTTCAATTCGGTTGCTGGTATTTACCGCTCCGTGTTGTTCAAGCAGAGTCCTCATTGTTTGCCTTTCCAGTGTCGTGCCAATTGATGTGAACAAAGCTGTAACGTCAAAAGAGACCATTATCTCGTCTCTTTCTATTGTTATTCCCTTAAGTTTTTCAAGAAATTGTTCTGCCGAATGGATTGAGTGCTCTGAGCCTGCGATTAGATGTTTCAACGGTTTCCAAAGTTCCTTAGACAGCTTGTAATTTGGTGCCCCGGGTAATGACACGATAGGGCGAAGCCGTACCCAATTTTTGTGTACTTTAGGTAGGCCGTAGAACCGTGGTAGAACTGAATCCTCGGGTTTCATCTTGCTGTGTTCTAACTTCGTGGTCTGTCCCATTTGTTCCAATCTTTAAAGAGTTTTCTTGATCTTGCTTTCCAGACGTTTTGTAGGGTCTTCATTTATCGGCTGGTAGGTGTTCACATCTCCGAGCAGTTCTTGTGCTTTCTTCATGTAGTCAGTTTTTTCCATTATTACAGTAAGACGTCCCTTGTCGGCCGGTAGTATAACAATAGTCTTGTCTTTTCTGAGGTTTGTCAGTGCCTTTCGTTCGCTTACACTGAATATGTTGGTTTCCAATTTGTGACTCAGAGCGGGGATGATGCTGTGTCTAATTGCATGTTGGGCAATAGAAATGCCCAGCTCGGAGAACAGGACAATCCTTTCATCCACATCTCGAGCTACAGGTATTCTCAATAATTTCCAAACAATTCAGGCGCGTGGTGCTGAAATCCGCTCGCCGATGGGAGACCTTTGCTAACCGGCAATCCTCCACTCACGAGCAACTCTACATCCTGCACGAGTGTTTGCGAAGAACTGTCCTACCACCAAGTATGCACTATCGTCCACCCATCAACAATCCGTTGGCCTGGAAGATCACAGAACAACATGGACGATGAATGCTGCGTCTGTTGATCACGGATGCACACAACCGATGGCTAAAGTATCAACGAGTAATCGACCAAGAAAAGGCCATTTGTTTGTCCAACCTCGGGGAACAGTTAACCAGAGAGCTTGAGAAAGCGATTTCCATTAGTACCCATTATACCAAATTCCAAACAAAGCAGAAACTAGAAAGGAAGTTGGACAGAATCTCGCAACAAAAACCAGCAAACGAAGAAGACGCATGGATTAAGAATCTATCCAAACGAACCCTATCAGATACAGAAAGAGCAGCTATTGTGCGAGGTTTGAAAGTCAATTACAAAGATTCCAATCCCATTGATTTCCTTGCCTTGATTTCCTTCCGCTGACCACATCAAACATCATAACTGAAGTCCAACATGCAATTAGACACAGCATCATCCCCGCTCTGAGTCACAAATTGGAAACCAACATATTCAGTGTAAGCGAACGAAAGGCACTGACAAACCTCAGAAAAGACAAGACTATTGTTATACTACCGGCCGACAAGGGACGTCTTACTGTAATAATGGAAAAAACTGACTACATGAAGAAAGCACAAGAACTGCTCGGAGATGTGAACACCTACCAGCCGATAAATGAAGACCCTACAAAACGTCTGGAAAGCAAGATCAAGAAAACTCTTTAAAGATTGGAACAAATGGGACAGACCACGAAGTTAGAACACAGCAAGATGAAACCCGAGGATTCAGTTCTACCACGGTTCTACGGCCTACCTAAAGTACACAAAAATTGGGTACGGCTTCGCCCTATCGTGTCATTACCCGGGGCACCAAATTACAAGCTGTCTAAGGAACTTTGGAAACCGTTGAAACATCTAATCGCAGGCTCAGAGCACTCAATCCATTCGGCAGAACAATTTCTTGAAAAACTTAAGGGAATAACAATAGAAAGAGACGAGATAATGGTCTCTTTTGACGTTACAGATTTGTTCACATCAATTGGCACGACACTGGAAAGGCAAACAATGAGGACTCTGCTTGAACAACACGGAGCGGTAAATACCAGCAACCGAATTGAAGCCACACAAATGATGGAGTTGCTTGATTTCTGTCTCACCACACATTTCACTTTCAACGGTCAAATATACAAACAGATAACGGGTACGCCAATGGGATCGCCAATCTCTGGACTGGTAGCGGAAGCAGTGATGCAAAGCTTGGAAGAGAAGGCATTGCCAATAGTGGAGCCCAAACTTTGGGTACGTTACGTAGATGATACTTTTGTCATCCTCAAACACTCCAGACTACAAGAATCACATCAACTAATCAACAATATTTTTTCCGGCATCCATTTCACCAAAGAGGAAGAGAACAATGATCAGTTGCCATTCTTAGACGTGCTCGTGAGAAGACATGCTTCTGGTCACTGGAAACAACAGTTTATCGGAAAGCGACGCACACCGATCAGATCTTAAACTATCGCAGTAACCATCCGACCATATACAAGCGAAGTTGCGTGAGGACGCTTTTCAAACGGGCCCAGACACATTGTAGCACGCCGCAACTGAGGAAGGCGGAGCAGGACCACATATTTAACATGTTTCAGCGAAATTCCTACCCTAGAAGCTTTATTCTACGCTGCCTGATGTCGAAGAGCCAGTCACCACCCGCGTCCACATGTGCAACAGAAAGAAGAACGATTATCCTACCTTACATCCATGGGATTTCTGAAATGGCAGCGAGGCTTCTAATGCCTCACGGGATAACTGTTGCACACGAAGCAACGGAAACCATACGAAATAGACTTCTTAAGGTGAAGGAGAAAATGCCTAAGAAAGAAACATCGGTAGTGGTTTAGAAAATTTCCTGCAAGAACTGTGAGAAGTACTATGTAGGCCAGACTGGAAGAAAACTTGGCACAAGACTGCACGAACATAGTCTGGCCATCCGCCGCCACGATGAGAAATCCTTAATGTCGGTACACATGGATGCCGAGAACCATCAGTTCGATCTGGAGAACGTTGAAATACTTGGAGGAGCAAGAAACCGCAGAGCAC